TATTAAACATGTTAAATCACAAAAACTATGTTGCGTGCAAAAGTCAGTAAAAATTATTGTATTAATTTTAAATAATATAAAAATTTATGTTTTTTGTTCGTATTTTATACGCTGCCATACCGTTCATCAGATTGCGGTAAAACTATGTCAACTTATTGCAGTTGTGTATTGCCAGCAACGCAAAGTCAGGAATTTGCATTTAGAAAAATCCAAAATTAGGAGCTCTAAAATTTTCACCGCAACGAACTGTTAAAATTTGCTTTGGTAGCAAAAGGTATCGCTAGCAACGCAATGAAGTTATTAGATAAACGATAAATATTAATAGCAAGGAATTAAGTGCTAATTAGGTGCTACAAGTATAGTCAATGACAAGGCGCCCCTAATAACATTTTTATTTTATATTAAAAAAGAGATTTCCTGTTTTTTAAGCATCATGATCGTTTGTCCCTTGAGGGATAAAAAATGCTAGCAACGTTATAGGCGACCCTAGTGAAGACTATTTACTCTACTGTTGCACAAAAATTATTCAGTGCCACATTTACAATTTTTTTATTACATCATAGCAAATTAGGGCATACTGATACCGATTATTTGAAATACAAACGCATTTTACATTTTTATCTACGTTAATTTGATAGTGTCCTTATTAAAATTTGTGGCGGGCAATACAGAACATAAATTCCCAAAGATAACGCACAAGTAAGTTACGCAATGCAATACCTATATGGGACAGATAGTTATTATATACTCTTTGATGCAATGTCATGTGCTGTCAACGGCTAGATTTTTGTTGTTAACTGGAAGGTGAAGTGGACTGACTTGATAATGACAGAATTCTATTATGAGAAGCCATAAAGTAAATAAGAAGAAAAAAATCTGAATTATCAAGCGGCACAGTATTAAATATAATTAAAGTTACTGCCTATATACGTCCCAATGCTGGGCACAGGCCCCTTCTCATTTCTGAGAGGGTTAAATATAATTATAAAATATTAAGATTGTGTTAGCAGGGCCGAATTAACCTTTAGGCAGAGTAAGCAACTGCCTAAGGGCCCCGCATCGGGTAGGGGCCCCGTGCGCGCACAAATACAATGGAAAATGTTTCATACAGAGAAAATTTTATAGGAAAATTTGTAACCTCAGTGACAATAGTAGTCCAGGAAATGAAGTATTTTGCCTCGCAATTTTTTCGTCCACCATGGATTAACTTGAAATTTTCACAGAAAATAGGGAATAGCTCAAGGATCATTGTCTATATCATGCCGCTGTACGCTAGAGCCTTGGATGTGGTTGCCACCCCATCTCGGGAGTGGAAATTTTTTATTACATTTTAACTATAGGAATCGACGGAAAAAGTAATTCTAAGAAAAAAATGTTATATACGTTTTTTTCGTAAAACTAATATTTTTTGAGTTATTCAAAGTTGAAAGTAATAGTTTTTTGACGAAAAAATCGACTTTTTTAAATGGTTTTTTTGCGAATAACTCTAAAAATATGCATTCTATCAAAAAAAAGTGTAGAGAGCCAAATTGTAGCTTTTAAAAAAACAAAAACAATGCTTTTCTTATAATTTTTCTACGACAAATACGAACTGAGATACAGCAAATTAATGCTTAGCTTTTTTCGTCAAATGCATAAATTGGAAGATTTAAAGCGAAATAACGAGAAAAATTTGCATTATTCGAAGAAAGCTCATAGAATCTTTTTTAAAGTATTTAATTAGAGCTTTCAAACAAAAAAATGTCTCTAGCATGATAATTGACAATAAGATCGGTACTCGCTTTTTTCTACGAAAAAAAAAATCTGTAAAAACAACCACCAAAGTACCCCCTAATTAAAATTGATCGCCATCCTTCTGTGATTCTCTTTATATATGTACTATTAATACACACACGAAGATTAAATTTTAGAAAAATTGGAGTTTAAAGAGAAAACAATTTTTTTCAATTTCGTGTTTTTAACCATTTTCTTAAAAATATCTCCCAAAATACTAAAGATACGAAAAAAACGATAAAGTACTAAATTGTAGCTTTTTTTAATGAAAAAATTTCCCTGTGTGCAGATTTTTTGTACAGTGAATATTCGGCGAGATATAGCCGTTTAACACTTACATTTACGATCGATCATTACCTTATTCAAGCGCTTTAAAATCTCCCCATTTAAAAATTAAGGGATCTTAAGTAATGTAATTCACACAGTCCTACAGCTCCTGAAAAGCCCTACAAAATCGTTTCGGAAAAAAATTTTTATCACCTAAAATGAAGGAGCTATGCTTAAAAAACCGATCACGTTTTTTCGAAAAATTCGAATTACCCGCTTCGGAGCGTAGTAATCTACATAACCGGTATATTCGGCCGTTATACGTTATATGTTCCACTTTTTCGATTCTTATTGGAAGACAGAGAAGAAGAAACATTTGCTCACGTGTATGCGTGTGTGAGTGTATATTTCGTTGATTTCTCACCAGTGTATTCTAAAGTTCGAAGACAGTAGCGCGTGTTCTGACAATTTCAATGTTTTCAAGGGTAGTTTTTAACAAGGGTAGGTGAAAGATTATGAAATTGTATCTTAAAGCATGAAACAATCATTATTTAACTGTTTTTACCCATATTTAGGTTTTTAATGTTAGTATATAATTTTTGACAATAAGGGGTAGTTTTCACCCCTAAAAATCAAAAAGCGTACAACGGCACAATATAGAAAATGAAATAGAGGGTGAAATAAGCGTAATCCCAAATTTTTGTACAAATCGGTGCTGGACGAAAATCTTGCGAGGTTTTATCATTTTTTTAGCTTCATTTCCTGGACTATAGGTATTATTACGTTTTAGCGACGCATACTGTCAGTAGATTAAATACTTCATACTTACAGAACAAAACCATCTAGTATCAAGTAGTAGAACTAATAATATGGATACGTTACATCCCTTTACGCTGGCTGCAAAGGGGCCCCGATAATTCCATTACCTAAGGGCCCCGACATGGTTAATTCGGCCCTGTGTGTCATGGTGCATTTTTTTTATAGGATCGGGTGACAAAAGAGCACACAGTCCACCTGATGGTAAGTGGTTACTGTGACCCACAGACATCTACATCTATCCTCAATAAAGACTCAAGATGCAGATGCGTTGTCACCCGTGAGGACTAAGATGGAATGCCTCTTTGCCAGTAAAAAGGGTCTCCGGTTCTCTACACTCACCATACGAAACACAGCAGCGTTAAGCTGCTATTTTACGCTGGTTTTCTGTGAGAGCGTAGTCCTTCCCCGGTCGAGCCGACCCATTGGTGCTAAAACCATAATATAGCATACCATTGCATTTATTCGAGTGAATTTAATTGCTTCGTTAAACTTTCAAAATGTTTCCTACAATTGTTATACGTGGTAGAGCAACACTGAAGCTATATTATGGTTGTCACACAAATGGGTTGGCTCTCGGCTCCACCCGGGAAGGACCACTCTCTCACAGAATGCCAGCGTAAAATAGCAGCTTAATTTTGCTGTTTCGTATGGTGGGTGTAGAGAACAGGAGCCCCTTTTTTACTGGTGTGGCATTCCATTTTTGTCCTCAGGGATGACAACGCATCTGCATTTTGATTCTACATCGAGGATTGATATAAATGTATATTAACAGCAGCATCTATTTACGATCATGTAGACTGTGTGCTTGTTTGTCACCCGTATTATATAAAAAACAATTATAAAAAAAATGTTTCCGTGTATTGTAATTAGCCTCTGGGGACACTATATTTTTGACGAATTACTCTGTGTTTATTTATTTATATTATTTATGTTCTTTATTCATCAGCAGCATCATCATTAAATCCCTTCACAAGTCCACTGCTGAACATAGGCCTCCCCCAAGGAATGCCACAAAGCACGGTCCTGAGCCACCACTCGACTTCCTGCATGTCTTACCAGGTCGTCACTCTATTTAGTGGGGGGGTCGCCCTACACTTCGCCTAGCGGCACGAGGCTGCAACTCGAGAACCTTTTTTCCCCATAGGTTGTCGGTTCTTCGAGCTGTATGGCCGGCCCATTACCACTTCAATTTACTAATCTTTTGGATTATGTCGGTCACTCTGGTTCTACTGCGGATATCCTCCTTTCTAAGTTTATCATTATCACGCAAAGATACCCTGAGCATAGCGCTCTCTATAGCTCGCTGAGCAACCGTGAGCTTCCTCATACGGCCAGCAGTGAAGGACCACGTCTCAGTTCCATAGGTCATCACTGGCAACACGCACTGGTTGTACAATCTCGTTTTTAGGTTTTTTTTGAGGTAAAGCTGACGAGACGATATGCCGTAATTTCCCGAATGCTGCCCGAGTTGAATTAGTCGATTGACCACTCGGTCGAAGTCAACACATTGACATACTCGTCAACAACTTCGAGCTTAGTAATTTTTTTATACATGTTCATCTTCAGACTTATCAGTTGAGAGACATTTTGAGGTCATTGAGCATTAGGTCCTCCAGCGATTCTGCCATAAGGACAATATCGTCGGCAAATCGAAAGTGAGTGATGTATGTAAGTGAGTGTTAATACCGTATTCTTTCCAGTCCAGTAACTTGAAAACGTATTCGGTAATACGGTAATAACATCAACGGCGAGTACATCACTCACCTTCGATTTGCCAACGATATTGTCCTTATGGCAGAATCGCTGGAGGACCTAAGCACTATGCTCAATGACCGCAATAGCGCCTCCCATCGAATAGGTTTTAAGATGAACATGGACAAAACAAAGATCATGTATAACGTTCATGTTACACCTATGCCGGTAGTTGTTGGCGAGTATGTTTACCTGGACAAATATTCCGACTAAGTAAGTTCAAGTTACTTGGATGGTAAGTCCAACTTTTACTTGGATGCTGCGTTTCCTATTCTTTGATTATTAGAAATGTTAAAACTTTATCAATACCAGCTTGTGTTATTACTCGCTACACGTTTAAGAGCAATTCAGTAGTGCATTCACAGTCCGAGACCGCGCACGCTTAAAATATGTCAAAAGATAACCTTACTGCGGTATTGCACAAGACGAAAGATTTGCGTTTGGTAAGTTTTTTTTAATTGCCTGCAGAATGTTTTTTTTTAATTTGTGACAGTTTCCGTTCTAAGAGGTAGGGACTTTCTTAACATATATAATAAAATATATCGTTAACAGTGTATAATCGAGTTATATCTCCAATTTTTGACCGAAGGAATTATTGCAATTTCTTAGATGATTGTTAGCCGTATAGGTTTAAATGTTTTTTCTTTATTATTTTGTATCAAATTATTTAATCCTTAATGTCTTGCTGATGTACGAAATTTAAATATCTGAAATAATACCTCACTAACAACATTCTATTACTTTATTTTTCACTAAATAATATTGAATTGTAACAATACACTTTAAACTCATAGGTAGTGTCATAATATGCATATCATATATGTGTTTCTTATTGTATTTAATTTAACAGTGTTGTCAATTACTATTACTATTTATAAAATATAAATAAACATATTCTTTACTACCCTCCTAAATAAAAGTGATAGATTACGTGTAGGTAGTTATTATTTAATGTTCACACTTGTCCATTTTTCTTAAATATTGAAATAAATCAGTTCCGGTAATTGTTTTATTTAATATATTTTTGAGATTTGCATGAGTTTGAGATTTCTAATTTAATTATTACAAATTACACATGTATGTAGCATATTTAAAGTTTAAATCTTTTAATTTATTTCTTCCGTAAACTTAAAGATATAACGTAATGAGTCAATCAAATAACTCACTAATAAGTTATCTGTATGTCTAATGTCTAATGTCTAAATTACAGCTTTTTACTAAATGCATATGAAAGTATGTATGGTACTTATAACAAAAATACAATTTTTTTAAGTTTTGTCTGTCCGTCTGTCTGTCTGTCCGTCTGTCCGTCTGTTTGTTAAGGCTAATCTCTGAAACGGCTGAACCGATTTTGACGGGATTTCAGCTTACAATTCGAATCTATTTAAAAATCGATTCACAAAAAATCGATTTCCAAAATATCTATATTTTTTATGTTTGCATTTATAATGTAAATATAATTCCATTTTATGAAAAACAAGAAAGATACCAATTAGGGCAGATAACAAACAAAATAGGTTAGGTTCAACTTATGTCAAAGAACCGAATTGGTTGACCCCGACTCCACCTGGTACCAGTCTGTCCTACCCTTGAGTGGTTTTAAAGAGCCGGAGGCGCGTAGGGGGAGCAGCCTCCGCCTGCTGTAACAAATCGTAGGCATCGGACGAGCCGGAGCGGCTGAGGCTGGTCGCCGAAAGCGACCAACAATCCGAAGCTGCCTGCGATTTGTTACGCTAAGACGTAGAGGCTGCTCTTCCCGCAGCGCCGGAGAAGTAGCAGTCTCAAAATAGATACAGAAATTCTTCTGAATCAGTCCCCCTATATTTTATGATGAAGGGGATTTTTTCCTCATAAAATGGATTTATATTTTACATTATATATGCAAACATGAAAAAAATATAGATATTTTAGAAATCGATTTTTGGGAATCGATACATCAGCTTACAATTCGAATCTATTAAAAAAATCGATCTTTTTCGGAAAGAATCGACATCCCTACTGACAATAACAATAAAAAAATGGAGTCAGTTTTATTGTAGAATTAGACATAAACAATGCAAGAATAATTGATTTTCAATAACTTTTTTCTCAAAAATTACGCGCTTCCGCATGTTGTAACTTTGTGTGTGGGCTTATAATAGTGTAACTTTTCTGTAAAAATACGTATCAACCCCCAACTCGATGGGAGTGAATGGAAAGCCTATTTAACACCACGAGGAATCAATCAATGGAGTCAATGGAAAGTCGTACCGTTAAATGTGTAGGATTAGGTTGGTTAGCATTCTGCCAAAGTGTTATAATGAGTACATTTCAAATGTTCATGTAACTCAGCTTGATATGGAGGCAAATTCGATGCATCGTAGTTTTGAAGAGATTTTTTAAACGGTTCATGAGTACTTTTGGAATTATACGTCGAACAAACTTTTTGGAAGCTTACTGCGTTAGTATCCGACAATTTTTTGAATCCATATAAATCGCAAACGAAAGTTTCAAGTGTCGCTAAAGTTTCATATCGCATTCCTATCCCAAGATCTGTTAGCGCTTTCTGGTAACCTGCATTTTTCTTTATTTAAAAGAAGATGGATTGTAATCACAACCCGTAATAGCATTGAACCTCATATCATGGAATCGATATTAGATACTGTGCCTGATGTAGATTAGAATTCATTGTTAATGCTAGATAATTCTTCTCTGTACCGCTTTGATAATGCAGTGAAATTAGAGTAGAATCGACTGTGGTAGCCTTCTGTATGGGACACGTTTGATGGTAAAATAATGTTTTCATATTTTCATTTATAAAACTGTCGGATTGTGAGCACACTTTTTCACTTTTGTAAAGTTTCGTCGGATAACAAAGTCAATTTTAGAGCACTGTTGCTTTTACAAAAACACAAGAGGTTGTTATATTTTCCATTTTTTTTTAATAACAATTATTGTTGTTGTAATTTACTACACAGAGCAATAATTTATAGTACAAATAGTTTATAGTTAATACAGAAACTATATATTAAATTATATATATTAATATTGTTAATTAATAAAAAAATGCGTGAGTGTCGTGGAACACCCGGTTGGAACGAAGTTCCTTGCGTAGTATGATATTATTGTTGAACGTAGGTATTATATTATTGATTAACAAATACAAATAAATGAATTACTAGCGTCTATTAAAATGAAGCGTCATTGAAATAAAATTATATTTCTTTCATGGGAAGCTAAGAAAAAGTGCGAGGGAGATGGACATTATTCTATCTCACTTCCTTATTTCGCCGCCAAGGCCGTATACACTATGACACAAGGAGTAGTGACGAAAAAATTTTACACTTTTTCTCGCCTAGCTCCCATCCGCCAAACCCGTACCGTCCGATAAGTAACTTCGTTCTAAAATATTACAGAAAATAATATTTAATTAACTAACAATAACAGGAACACGTGTTCACGGTAACGCAGCAAATAATATTACTCCTTCCTATATGTAAAAGTACTCTATGATTATACTCCAAACATAATATACTAAAAGTTTTGGCGGTAACTTGACCGGCGACGGATTGCTGCTCCTGTATTATTATTTAAATAATGGTTTGAAGTGGATTTTGATATGTAAAAGTGGCGCGATTTTGTGTATTAAGTGTCTGCGCATGTGAACTATTAGTGGAAACGGTGAAACAAGTGCTATGATGGTGATGTGATTCTCAAGATAACGTGTCTGTCTGCTTAGGCGCCTTGAGATACATCGCCAACTGTCAGCTGTCTGCTGACTCAAGTTGCCGTCAAAATTTCCCAAAGGCTGCACAATATGACGCATCAACATATTGTGGAGCAGTGTACTATGAAGGATAATTATACATTGTAACTTCAGTCTCAGAAGGGCTAGTACCCAGAGCCATAAAGCATGTTATTAAAAAAAAACATAATATACTAAACATACTTTACGAGACACGAGCACAGATTAGTTAATAACACACGAGACGGTTAGCGCAGCTAGTCAAACCACATGAACGCTCTAAGCCAATGAGAACGCAGCATGAACGCTCTCTCTCATATTCATTATTTCTCGTCTTCGGTATCGTTCTATTTTAAGGAATATTTTTAGAGTGCCTGGCAGTTTTTGCCACCACCGAAATGATCTCGCTTTTTGGGATTATCATTAAAAAAACTTGACACGCTATTAAATTTTCAGCGTGGGTCAAAAATATTTTTTTAATGTTTTTAAAAATATCATTGGGGTTGTCTGGTTCCGTGCCACCCCACTCAAATGAACTGCAATCGATATGCTATACTTATTATTGATAATAGAATACAATTTGTGTTATTTCATGCTGGGTCAATTATATTTTTTAACCCAAATATTTTAACTTACTTTTACCTTGCGCAGTACCTGTCCCACCTGTACATGCCAGACAGATTAGCCATTACCTATACAACTTACGTAAACGACACTTTTGAGCTATATAACTAGATGGGTCAAATCCGTGCTCAAAATGTGTCGCCAGCTCTTGGACTAACTAGCCTAACTTAAACGATGTTCGTTATATGCTGTCACTTTAAGTTAAGCGACTAAAATTTTATTTATTTAGATATTTACCACTTTCATTCATTACACAATACAATTTTTTTGTAATTAACAACTATAAAAGGTGGAAATTTTCAATTATTAAAATATTTATTTTTATGAAATTATTTTCGGAGCAAATTATTATTTATTATTTAAACTTGTCACCGCGGTTGCCACAGAGAAAAAAGAAATTGTCGATTGTGTCAACCTTTACAAAAGTTAGGTTAGAATAAGCAGGATTTCAATCTTGTAATTATTTTTAATTCAATTCCTATGCATACATTACATTGATTTTTCATTATCCATTTGTGTACAAAACGTTTGTACCTGCTCAAATAAATGAATAATAATGAGGAATTTCTTTCTGAGGTGAATTATATTTAGGTACTGGGCACCTAGTCATGATTAATTTCGTCTATTAAACACAAATTTTCACTTTTAATCCTCAGATTTTGTAAATAAAAGCGGGATATGTTTTGTTCATGAATGATGCTAGGCCGATTCAGGCCGATAGCGTATATATGAATGGTCCCGTCTATTTTTCTCGCTCTGACATACGCGTACACTATGCACTTTCTCTTTTACATTGCCAATCTATTTTAAGGTCATTTTATACTAAATATATACATACAATATATACATACAGTACATACAATATATTTATACAGTTTATACTGAATCTATGCGATGACCCAATTAGTTTTACAAATAATATTATGAATATTTGTGTTTTTTTTTTCAGGAGCAAACACCGATTCCAGAAATCGCTGATGATGGTAAGAATTACTTTTTATCATCTTTTTTTTTTGCAATTCGGTAAATTTTACGGTCAAATTATCTAAAGAACTAGCTGTGCCTCGCGGTTTCACCCGCGTATTATTTAAGAAATCACTCATTGATTGATTAATTTATAATACTGAAGTATAGACAATATTTTTAAACCAACATATGATTACCCACGGGGAAAATAGCATTCCTTTAGATCTATCCCCATGTGCATATAAGTCCGTCCCTGTGCTCTATCGGTTCTCATCGGACGGCTAAGGGTATGCGCCGTTCGCGCACAGAGCTGAGTGTTGAAATATTTAAATTTTTCATTATCTCTTAAACTATGCGTCCAAATGACATGATATACAGAGCAAAGTTTATCTTCATAAAATTGTCTTGGTGATGAAGCAACTTTGGACTTTGGTGGTAAAGATTAATACGCCACGCCTAATAATAGCGCTCGTAAATCACTTTTGAATTTTTTTTCACAAGATATCTTATTGTGGCTTATGTAGAAGAAATAGGCATATAGCATCGCAGACTTTATTTTAGATGGAATAAAGATAAATATAATTGTAGAACATTGTATTTACGTTTCACTAACCATTACACCAGCGCACACGGATAAAGCTGTTCGAGAGCACTTTTTCTTCCGACTTGCTTAATAAAATTCAACATTTAAGGCTATCTGAGAGGTGGGGCCCAATGCTACATAGCCTATACTATTCCTCATGAATCTGGCTATCATCATCAAATCGGACTGGTAGTTCCAGAGATTAGTGTAAAAAAAAACTCTTCTCTTTTATTATATTATTATATTTTTACGTGGTAGAGCCAGGCTGCAGCTATAGAGTGTAGAGTGAGTGTAGAGAACCGGATACCCTTTTTACTGAAAAAGTGGCATTCCATTTTAGTCCTCACGGGTGACAACGCATCTGCATTTTGATTCTTTATTGAAGATAGATGTGGATGTCTATGGGTCACAGCATCCACTTACCATCAGGTTGACTATGTGCTTGTTTGTCACCCTTATCCTATAAAAAATGGCGTCCCCATTCGTATGAAGATTATATCGTAATTGCCTTACTTCTCAGGAGGTTTGGTGATCGTATTACGTGACCAAAACAATTAGGCGCATGACAGCTATAACGTCATTAGAACTAGGGAGAGAACATCGGAACGGTGATTGATCACTAGGGCAACCGCGGGGATAGAGGCGGGGTGCGGGCGCCGAAATCACAATCCAGTCCTGCGCCTAATAGTTTTGGCCAAGTACTAATACTAAGTGTTTCCTTATACCTAGTATTGCTTACCCGTGCTTCCCAACATCGAACATTTACATTTGGCACATTAAATATGGTATATAGGCATCTATCGGAAGCCATGATAATTTTCCAGCTTTTTCCATAGGTACATCTTACAACTTCCACGGTACGAAATAGGGTGATCTATTTTTTTACGCCGTCGAATGTCAGTTATTTACTTCGTAAAATTTCATAACTAAATGGGAAGTTTTTCAGAACCGACATGCGATTGTGTAACATGGGTGGGAATCGTTTGTCGGTGCAAATAGCACCGACATCGAAACATCGCTTTGTTTTTTATTATGATAATATTTTATAATCTAACATACGACATAAATTTTAAAAGTGGTAAAACTAAAAAGAAAATTACAACTGATTTCAATATAAATAAAATGAGTACATCGTCAATGTAGTTGACGTCAATTAAATACGCATTATTAAGAATATCTCAAAAACTACTGGTCAGATCTTGATCAAATTTATATGAGACCACGTGAGCAACATCAGCTTACAAATAAAAGAAATATCATTAAAATCGGTTCACCTGGAAAAAAGTGTGTGTCGTGAAGACACGATAGGAGTGAAACTTTTATATTAAAAGGAAACATTTCAATTAATGATTTCTTATATTTACGCGAAGACTACACATTAACTAAAACTAATTTTTACGGATTTCATCACGTTTAATTTAACTTTTTAAATCCCGACGTTTCGGGTGCTTCACAGCACGGGGGGAGGACTGAGGTGTTTGAGCTTCAGTTCTTGAATATTAATTTTTAGTCCGATCTACGCAGATTGAGTTTACTTGAAGTTTTGCAGTGGTATGCTTGGGTTTGGATTTAATCTTATTAATTAAAATTAATCCCAAGCAGATGGCAGCACCTATCCATCTTCATTATTGAAATTAGGATGTTTTTTAATTTTTTTTTAATTTAAAAACATCACTAGACAACAACTTTACCCCCACCACTTTTAGTCACACAAATAACGTTGCGGATCAGAATTCCAAAGCCCTTCCGTAAAAAGTTTCACTTTAAAAGTTCTGAGGTAACACATATACGTACGTAGTACACATATAGTAGTACGTCGGGAGAAGACGTCCTGCGCTTCGTGGAAGAACGAAGCCGATGCCGCATTGAGGATCCGATCTCTTTACATTTGCAGCGTCTGGAGTCTAATAGGTCAACGAACTTCAAATCCTACGTACTCCAGGTTCCTGCAAAACATAAAGAGACATTCCTCGCTCCCGATTTTTGGCCCTCTGGGGTAGTGTTTCGCCGATACAGGGACGCGCCAAAGAAAAAAGTTCCCTAAATAGTGTTATGTCTATATTTTATATATATTTTTAGGTTAAGGTATATATTGCTATGGGCAAATGTTCTTAATTTTTAAGTCCTTGATGCCTGAAATAAAGTTATTGTATTGTCTTGTATTGTATATAAGGAAAAAAAGAGGCGAATTGAGTACCTACCTCTTCCTTGCGTCGAAACGAAGCCAAACGATCCCTATCATAGTTACACAATCGCACTGCGTATTTTAAATCAGTCCTTGAAGGTTTTGCAGCAGTGCACTCGTGTTCGGCTGTAATGATGATGATGACGACTATTTAGTAAGTTTTTTGAACAATGTCATTGAAATTCCTAAAATTAGTTCAAATACTTATGTCTTGATTAATTGAAATTTCCGCCGTGTAGTAGAGGCGTAAGAGAATCAACCATGGAAATATATGTACTTCGTACAGACTGGAACCCACACTCTCGAATGGCATAAAAAATATAAGAAAACGACCTTGAAATTTTTCATTACCCCTCAGTCTCTTTCTAATTAGGGTGAACACAAAATACAAGAATTTGGGATATTATGGGGAAAAATCAGTTTATTTTTATATATTCATTTATAAAATTTTAATTTAATTGAAAATAATTGAGTTCCATTGATACGCATCATATTAGAAAAATTCATAAGGACGAAGCTGCGGGCGGAAATTTATTAATTAATAATATTTATAAGTGTACTTTTTTTGTCAATAAACGAATAAACGAATGAACGGGCTCAATATTCAAAACTTTAACCATGAACTCAGACCATCACCTTGAGCAAAATCTAAAATATTTTTGTCCGAAAATGAAAAAAACATTCGATTTCGTATTCGTATCGGTCACGTGACCAATTTTGTATGGGAAGTCAATTTTTTTTTATTTTCACAAAGAAATTCCTTCAGTACCTTGCTCCGAATGATAGTCATTTGAGTTCATGGTTAGTTTTTGGAAGGCTGTCTTTACATCCCTTATAATGTAACATTAGGAAATAATAAAACTAAAATAATTATCGTTTTTATTTACATTTATTATTACAATAGCAATAGCGTCTACAAATTTAAAATACACAATAATAATAATTAGAGGTGAAGGTTTTTACAACAACACATTTTTTATACATGATTGAATAGTTTTGTGAACTTTTGGTCCATAAAATTTTTAGATACGTTCTGAGACGCATTGTCAAAAAAGAATTTGAAATTCGCAGCAACCACTTACCATCAGGTGGACTGTGTGCTCGTTTGTCACCCTATCCTATCAAAAAAAATTAAAATTCTGGATTAATGAATTTCAGAGTAATTAATCATCCATAGAGTGATTTTTTATAGAATAAGGATGACAAACGTGTACACAGACATATACATCTATCCACTATTACAAATCAAATTGCAGATGCAGTGTCACCCGTGAGGACTTAGATGGAATGCCTCATTTCCATTAAAAAGGATCTCTGGTTCTCTACACTCACCATACGAAACACAACAGCGTTAAGCTGCTATTTTACGCTGGTATTCTGTGAGAGCGTAGACCTTCCCCGGTCGAGCCGACCCTTTCGTGCTACAACTATACTACTAATATAGCTGCAGCATGGCTTGCCACGTATAGAATACACTTTAGAATACGTATAAATAAAACATTGGTCGCGATTAATACATTTTTAATATTAGGTTGACTCAGATTATTCATATTTGATGCCCTTTTAAATATTTTATCCGCAAAAAGGACAATTTTGTACACCTCTGCGGATGGAATAAGCAATTTATCTCTATTTACAAATATTGTAGATAATTGATATTTATTTACATTCAAAACGTATCAATGATCGGTTTGTAAATGATCTGCAGCAATCAGCAAATTTTTACAATCGTTATATTTCAGCTGTTTGACAATATTTTTTATTATATAATCGGTAATATAATAAAGAATAGTTTTCTGATAATCCGTATGGGTCTTTGTGATTCCAAAGTCTGCAAGTGGTTATCGATTTTATCATTAGTATCTGTATCATCGGTATTTGAGATCGGATTCGGATCGGATCAGTGAAAAGCCCCACAATGCAATTAAAGAAGGCCAAAGAACGTCTTAAGGTCTCAGTTTGGCAAAGTTGCATATTGTTTAATAAACTCGTACGCGTTTGACGAGTAAAAATGTAATGCAAAAGCGAAGGATTTCACTTCATCGCTATACCACACCTTTTGGTTTTATAGATTTTTTTTTAAATTCTTTACATATATTGGCAAAATTTCCTGAATTAATATTTTCTATGTCACTTTTTCTGCATATGATTTTATAATTTTTGAAACGAAGTTCTTTACACGGTACGGATTTGGCGGATGGGGTCTAGGCGACAAAAAAGTGTAAGATAATAGACCAACAAAGCATGCT